GTATTAGAAACTTAATTTTCATTTTATTTCGTTTCAGAATATGATTAATTCTAATGCACTTGTAAGTGCATCGGGTTTTTCATCGGGAACTTTCCCTTCGATGCATTCATTGCATCTTTTCTCCAAAATAATCATTTCTTTTTMTTTTTCAGGTTCGTTTTGAGTTTCTTTTTTCAGTGGATAGTGGATAGATCTTTCTTTGGTTTCTTCACAAAGAAAGGTCTACTTTAGGGATGCGATCCTGCCCTACGCGAGCCATGATTTTCTCCTACCTCCAATAATTGGGAGAAAATCATGTCCTTACCTTGAATTTCACCCCATCAACCATCACTCCTTCCCTACTTCTTTATTTTTCTTTTGGTTTTAGGTTTCTTTCTGTTCTAGGTTTCTTATAATAATGGAGTATTCAAGAGGAGAGGAATATGGACCAGAAGAGGACTGAGTTATGGTAAACAGGTTGTATTTTATTCATTTATTACTTTTTTTATTCACAGGATGAATTATAAAGACGATGCAATATTACATCCAAGAATAATAGGAAGCAGAACTTAAGAGAACTATAATTATAGTAAAGGGTAATATACAATAATTACTTGCAAAAATAATTCAAGAATTTTAATTCTTTTTATTTTATTCTTTTTAGCAACGTATATGTATGATAGTTATTTTTAATGTATCCTCTTTTGTTCTACAGGTATCATCTAATATCTTCTTTTTTTTTTACAGGTACCATCTAATATTATATACATTTATTTTTATTATACTATATTTTAGGTAGATTAAAAATTATTAAATATAGAATATTCATAACTTGTAATTTCCGAAGGTACATATATCAAAATTATTCTATGGTGTGTTAGTATTAAGTATCATCGATGATTCTATTGAATTTCTTTTCAGATTACACTCCTTGTTTATCATTTTGTATTTTTTAGTAATAAAATATTTCTATTGTATTTTCGATAATAATTTTATTGATTTTTTCCTATGGTACTCTTATGGAGGGGCCTAAGAGTTAGATTTATTCCTTTTAATTGTATTCGGATGTGGGCATCTTTAGGATGCACATCCCTCTTGGGTCTTCAGAAGCGGTTACCTCCTCGTGGTTAGACCCGGGCAATGGTATTTTACTTTCCATGTAATGTTTAATATATTTTTATATGTTTTACATTCCATTGCAAGTAAAATCCAGCCAAAGACCGCTTACCATAAACATTATAATTGTAATTTGTTTCTTTTAATTTTCCAATGAACATATTTTTTTTATTCCTTTCCTTGGCTCCTTCTATCCATTTCATCTCCAGAAACTAATTACCTTATAATGTTTCTTTAATATTTTTTATATATTTGCAGGTAATTCTGTTCTAGAATTGGAAGAATTTGTATTCTATTATATATAGTTGAGTCATGTTATCATTCTTGTCTTTTTAAAATGATAATTTTTAAAAAAATCCCGCCGAAATTTTGACATCTACGAACAAATTGGCGAAACTATTGATTACTGTTTTTTCACTGTCGGTAATGTAGAAAACTTTAAATTAAATTCGTTGATAATCATTTTCAAAATAATTTTCTATTTAATTATAGAACAATTAAAATAGATTAGAATTAACATTGCACGTGTTGTTACATACTTACACGCATATATAATTAACATATTAAAAAAAATAACGTGTTTAGGTTTATTTAAATGATAAAAAAGGATGCAATTGAAAAAATAAAAAAAACGTCATCGAACGTTATCGTTGAGTATTTGCGTACGGTGTCGTGTCTCATTTTCAGTCAACGTTTAGTGCATCAACGTCGTGGAGTTGTTCATCTTCGATTATATTATTTGCCACGAATACGAAAAATTTGCTAGGAAAAAAAGAGTGTAAAAGGAAAAAGATAGATAGGGAAGGACCCGCCATTTTCTCCCTCTCCAAAGGAGCCCTTCTTTTTCTTTCGTCCCTTCTACTTCTTCTTCTTCTTCTTCTTTTTCTTCTTATTCTTCTTCTTCTTCTTCTTGTCAAAAGCCATAACCATGCTCGACGACCGATGGAGAAGCGCCAACAACTTCAAAGATTTAATCCTATTTTCGAGGTTAGTACTACGTAGGTCTTGTCATCTCTCTGAGGTTATGTTATTCAAATAATGAATTTTAATTGATTACGTGGCTTCATGAATTACATTGTTTTTTGTTTTTTGTTTTTTTTTTTTATCAATGAACATTTACACGATTCCATTGTTAAAAAAAAAGAAATACCTACTTTGATTGATGTTGTCAAAATTTGTTGAAGTTGTTAACTTTGTTATTAGAGAATTGTTCTTTTGAATTATATAAATCGTTGATTAATTTAACCTCTATTTTTCGATGTCAATTTTCTCTCGAATCATTCGCAAATTGTGAATTATTACGATAAGATTGTTTGTCATTTTTAAATAAATATTCTTTCTCTTTTTATTTTATTAGACTTTTTACGTATTTCTTTTTCTTGTTTTTGTTGTTGTTGTTGTTGTTTTTTTTTTTTTTAGCGATTGTTTACGTGTCCAAACGTACGTGATTTTTTTCTTTTTGTCCAGTGTTGCATTTTATTTAATCAGAAGTGACACACAATGTCGGAATTTGAGATTAACCGGTAATGTTTAATAACTGAATAAATATTTAATAATAATAATAATTGTTAACATTTAATTTTTAATCATTCTTAGTTCCTTTTACATGCGATCATATTTATTATTATCATTTATGTTTGTTTTTCTTCGATGATTCGTCATCGAATATTTGTTGAAATATCACAAACAAAATTTGTTTACATTGTTTGCTTTTTTTTTTTTTTATCTTTTTTTATCTTTTTTTTCTTCGCAAAAGATAAAAGAATGTAAGATTAAAAGTGCAGTAAGATTTATAATTGTACAGTATAATTTTACTGTTTTAATTAATTGTTTTTAAATTTGTTAACAATTTAAAAATGAAAATAATCATTTTCAAACAATCATTGATTTGATCTCGTTAGTAAATAAAAGTAAAAATTGATTGGTCGATTTTCATAAAAAAAATTATTCAATAGGATGATAAATTGAAATTGGAAAAAATTAGAAAAATTAATTGAAACAAAAGAAATGTGTGTTAAACCTAGATTTGAAAAAATAGGCGGGAAAATTTGACATCGAGTGTACAATTTAAATCTTTTTTTTTTCAGTTCAACGAAATTATTCAATAGAATAATAAATT